GGCTAGAATCTATGATATTCACGTTCTTCGATAAATTGATCTGCTGGCGTAGACAACAACGATTGGCAAATTTGCACTTTTTGACATTGAGGAATTGTTTGGCGTCAAATCGATGATGAGGGGGGATGCATTTTTTACGTGCCAGTAATTCGTTTTCGTTGCCAGACAAAATTCAATTGAAATTTCAGAGCTTTAAAGAATTTTAAGATATTTTCCCGTCTTGAGATGGAATGGTTCAGGAGAATAGATTGACAAGCAACACTTCAGTTCTTTTTACTTAAAGGTTCCTTTTAACTTTTCTCGTTAAAATGAAGACTTAGAAACTGAACTTGTGGAATTTTTTGTGTTCTTTGTCATTTGTCTTGCTTGAAATACAGATTTTGATAAGTGACGAAACCTCATGGTTCATATAAATTTCTAACCAACGGTTTAACCAAAAATGCAAATTTTGTTATGCCACAATCATAGGGTGTTAATGGCTGTATATTCAACAATTTGGCACCCCTTGCTTTATATTGAACTCTTCCACACATGCATACTTTAAATCAATATGAAACTATATATGTATAATCAGAAGAGCTCATTTGTAAATTAAGGGGTGAATTTTGTTGTCAATTTATAACCTGCTTTGGTCACAATACACTTGAAGTTTTAAGAGCTAATTAAGGAACCATTCTTCATGTTTTATCCAATATAAAGAGGTTCAGTGTGCTCGGAACAAAAGAGAGAAATTCCTGGAAGCCAATACTTTCAGGAATATCTCACGTACCAGTACATTGAGAACCTAAATACAGAGAACTTGCCGTTAGCTTCAGAATTCTAGCATTGTTACTGATCAAGTAGTATTTAAGTAGATTATGTTTTACTATTTAAGCATGTATTTTCTTTATTCTAGAGTTTGTATATTATATCCTTAAGGATTTGGGAGGGTTGTAGCTCAGTTGGTTTAGAGATCTATTTTGTGATGTCATTTAAGCTTGTTACATGTTTATCATGTCGTTTTGAGGAAGGCTGTAGTCCAATTTGTTAAGAGTTTTATTTTGTGACATCATTTAATCATTATCTTCTTCATTATGTCCTGCAGTATGTATATTATTTTATTTCCTTGTATCTTTGCGGAAGGCTGTAGTCTAGTTTGTTAAGGGCGGTATTTGATGATGTCATTTAAACTTGTATCTTATTAAACATACTTGAATCATCAAGATCTCTTTTCTTTTCCTTCTGAAAACTTTGTGAACAAATTAGGGATTTTGCTGTAATTCTTTGTTACTTAAGTAAAAATCTTGTGTCTACACGCTACAACCTCCATTAATCCATCGCATAATACACTGATCACTACGGAAACCAACTCTGACAATTTATCTTGTCCTTTAATCAACAAAACACGCAGATTCGTGGGACACCATTTAAGTTTCGACCAATCATAAAACTGGAATTGATTGAGTGTGACAAACATTGATTTTTAACCAATGAAAACACTGGAAATAATTGAGTGTGACAGAATTTAATTTTCAACCAATGAGAAGGCAGGAAATAATTGTGTGTGACATGTCAAATGAATGGCGACGCGATTAGTCTGAGGGGGAAATTATTGTGACAGCTCTCTAGGGAGTATCCATTATTGAACATGCTAGCGAAGATGGAGTTTTAATTTGAAAATGATTTGTTTTAGCTCAGGTCTAATGGTTTTATTTTATTGACTGTAATCTGTTAACTCATCATTCATTGGTTAGCTATTTATATCCAGCCAATGAAAAAGTAGATTTTAATCTTGATTTGTTCTCTGTTTTGAATAATTTAGTCTTGCCACGTTGTTACGTGTGATTGCATCTTCATTGTATCTAAAGTGCCAAGTAAAATCTGTTTTAGTAATATTAAAAACAACAATAATTTTGTCATTTTTGTTAATTGATAAGGGACACAGTTGGATCTAAAACATTTCTTTTCATTATGTCTCCTCAAAGCCAATGAGTTAAAAATCTTAAGCTTATTTCTGTAGACTACAAATAGAGACCAAGAATTTAAAAATTACTCAAATACAAAGACGTCAAATTAGATACATAAGCTTACTAAATTTGGCCAACAGTCTCGGCGGCCATTTTGACTGATTGTTTAATAATGGTTGATGAATGATTATTAGGGGTGAAGGTCGCAACAGCAAATAATCACTTTCCACAAGGTCAAGTAGTTTTCAATCACTATGACAACTAGAGGTCAGATGTCATCGTATCGCCGTGACAACCATGATAAATCATATGAAGACTGATCTATCAATTTCGTATTTTTCAACTCAAATCAACTAAAAGTCTTTTTCTTAACATTTATCAAACTTTTTTCCCAAAATTCTTCTTTTATTCTGATCATTTCTGCTTTTGATTTAGTGGTAGAAAAAGAGTAATAACAGAAATGTATTTGGAAAAAAGTTAACTGAATTAAAGGGATTGTAAAGAGGTTTTCGAAACTTTTTATTTGTATCATTGATAGCATCAATTTACACAATTGCTATGTTCAACACAACCACTCACAAATGTCTGCTGTTAAGAAAAGTGAACTCTCCAATTACTGAAATTGTATGTAAATAACAAACATCAAAAATAATGTTTTTATAACATCAAAAATAATGTTTTTATAACATCAAAAATAATGTTTTTATAACATCAAAAATAATGTTTTATAACATCAAAAATAATGTTTTTATAACATCAAAAATAATGTTTTTATAACATCAAAAATAATGTTTTATAACATCAAAAATAATGTTTTATAACATCAAAAATAATGTTTTTATAACATCAAAAATAATGTTTTTATAACATCAAAAATAATGTTTCTATAATATGCTGTTTGTTGTTGATATATTTTTGCTGTTTTTTTTATATCATGCTTAATGGAATATTTTTTTCTACTTGCAGACACGATGGAAGAAAAGCATCAAAGGTAAATGAAACTTCATTCAGTATTAATGCCAAGTTCTTCAATATCCTCTGAAAGTCATATAATCTTCTGATGAAATTCATTCCTATTTACTTCTGACTGACTTAATGGTGGGACAACTGTTTAGGTTGAGATTCAGCTCTACAGAAGTGCCATAGTTGCAAGCTCTCCATAGAACATTTTGGAGGGTACTCTCCCAAAAATTGAGAAAAAATAAAACGGATTTTGGTGCATTCTGACATGTTTGAGGAAAAACTTGTAATATAGTGGCGGTACAAACCATTTCTCTGTACCCTTTTGGTGCCGTCACTTCTGTACCAATCTACAGGTGAATCCACTGGAATAACAATGACTTAAAGGGCATCAAACTTTGACTTCCCTACCTATCTTGAGCATTCATGCATACTGATGATTTGATGGTACTGGTAGTAAAAAAATAAAATAAAAAATCTCTCCTTTAATTCAATATCATATTCCTATGGTTAAAAACACGACTCTGTAAGTTTGTGTTATTGAACGCCCTGAAATGTGAAAACTAACAATTTGATACAGTGTGATGAAAAACAGGCCTGGATAATCATGACACAATTATAGGTGTGATTTATCGTGTCATTTGTCTCTTAACATAGCGTGTTATTGCATTTTATTGACGGTATTTAATTGACTAGAGCTTGTGAAATGCGTTTTTGGAAGCACGATCTTTATCAGGACATGATATTGGAAATGGGGTTGAACTTTACAAAATTGGGCTTAACATAAATGAGCAAAGAAGTGGATGGTTTTCTTTTTTGGAGATTGACTTTGATTTAGACGTATGTCTGTCCCAACTCCAATTGATTCCAATTTTCAAAATACAACTATTTCCACTATCCATCCGTCTAACTGTTCATCTATTCTCTAACTTTCCATTCAATCGAATGATCCATCTAACTATCCATGCATCCAATCCAAGAATCCATCCCACTTAACCATTTATCCAATCTAAACTATCCATCCCTCTATCCAACAATCTATCCATCCCTCTATCCAGCAATCTATCCATCCCTCTATCCAACAATCTATCCATCCTGTCTAACTGTCCATCCATCTAACTATCCAACCCTTCTGAATCTGTCTTTGAAAATTTTCAGAAGTCAATTCTGAAAACATCACTTATTTTCTATTTTCAAGGCTTCAGAATGATGGAATGTTATTGAATTATCTGATAAGATTTTTGTTATTATGTTAGCTATTATTTGATTGGTTGTTGATATGATAAGAAACCCCGTCTGATTGGTGGAATCTGATTAAAGGTTCATTCTGATTGGTTTAATTTGATAAAGTTTTTATCATTCTCTGCGGAATAACTCGTGTCAGATTTGATCAAATTTAGGTTATTTTGAATGTCGGCTTCTATTTCTTGCGTTGAATTTCATTTGTTTTTTATCGATTCCAATTTTCAAAATACATTTAAACTTTTTCCCTGGAGGCTCATTTTAAATAATTTGAGCTCTTAAAACAAACTGAAGGCTACTTATCTCTGAAATGTTTTTACTGGGCGATTTTAAACTCATTGAAAACAAAAAAAAAAATTCAAATCTAATTTGTTCCTGTGAAATTGTTTTTTTTTTCGAAAACTCAGTGGCACCATCCATCCAATCTATCTATCCAGTATAACTATCTATTCAATTTAAGGATGCAATCTGTCTATATATCCAACCTAAGGATCTAATCCATATATCCATCCCATAAAAGGATCCAATCCATCTTACTTTCTATCCTTTCTAACTATTCATCCCATCTAACTATCCATCCCACCTAAACTATCCATCCAATCCAAGGATCAAACCTATCCATCCATCCCATCAAATAATCCATCTTATTTAATGATCCAATCTATCTGTCCATCCCATCAAATGATCCAATCCATTCTAACAATCCACCCCACCTAAACTATCCATCAAATCTAAGGATCCAATTTATCTATTCATTCCATCAAATCTAAGGATCCATCTTATTTAAGGATCCAATTTATCTGTCCATCCATTCTAACTAAGGATCCGTCCAACCTGTTTATTTTTCAGACTTTTGCATTTGATCATTGTTTCTGGTCAATGCTGGAAGGTGACCCACGATTTCAGGGACAAGAAGCAGTATTTGAGGCCCTGGGGGTGGAGATTTTAGAAAGGGCATATGAAGGATATAATGGCTGCATTTTTGCTTATGGACAGACAGGTAAACACAAGTTTATTTTCTTTATGATTTTTCATTTGATGGAGACATTGAGAAATTCTCTGCAAAAAATCTTTGCCTAATTGCTGTCAATGCTTATCTGTCAAATTGTCCTTTCAGAGCACCTTGTACCACTCCATACCTAGGAATGTCAGCAAGGAGAGCCTCAAAGAGCACAACAGTTAAACATAGCTTCTCTGAGGTACAGATTCCTTCATAGTCTTATGTATTTTTCTGTAATTCTATTTCAGGATCTGGAAAATCGTACTCCATGATGGGTACCCACGAACAGAAAGGTATAATCCCTCGACTATGTGATACAATGTTTGAAAAAATTAAGACCAGCACTAAAGAAGACTTGGTGTATAAAGTTGAAGTCTCCTATATGGAAATTTATAACGAGAAAGTCCATGATTTACTTGATCTCAAAGGGTATGTAACTTTATTTGGATTTGTGGTCTAAAAGGAACAGAAGTATTTTGCTACCAGTATATATACTTATTTTGTCCAAAGCTGCTCCAAACTGCCATTTTCAACTGTCAAGGGACCTTTAATTTGCTCAGCTTATAACACAGCATTTTGTACTTATACCTTGACTATCTATTTTGTAGAAATAAACAGAATTTAAAAGTGCGCGAACACAGTATATTAGGTCCTTATGTTGATGGTTTATCAATGCTGGCTGTCTCTTCATTTGAGGTAAGGATTGATTTAACCAGGGGTTCAACCAGGGGCTGGTGAAGAATCAAAGATCAATGATCATTAAGTAAAATCACTGCACAGGAGCATGTTAAAGAATCTGCAGTCTGTATTCCTCCTTAAATCCTTTGCAAGAACCAATGAAATGCCGCTCTTTTTGTGATCCTTTGCATTTTACAGACACTTGTCATGGTCATGCAAATTTGGGACCATTATGGAAAGAAAACCCCTGTCCTTTATTCTCAAATCTATTTGCACCCATTTCTTCAGTTCTCATGTAGACAACACAATGTCTGGTTTTAAGTTAATTTTCTCTACTCTTCAAGTGGAAAAGCTATTAGAGGGAGATAACTCTAAATGGTTAAAATCTCCAAATGCACACAAAATCATGTTTACTTCAGAAATAGCAATTTCTTTAAGAAGAATCTGATTTTCTACATCTGCAAAGTCATGTATTTAATCTGTTTGGTGGAAAATATGAGCTTTTGGCGGGAATTTTACTAATTTTGGCGGGAATATGAGATTTTAATGTGGGTATCTTCTCTTTCAGGATATAAATAACCTTATGAACGAAGGAAATAAATCCAGAACTGTGGCTGCTACCAACATGAACAATGAGAGCAGTCGGTCACACGCTGTCTTCAACATAGTCCTTACACAGACCCTCACAGACCTGGCTTCTGGGGTGAGTTGTTAGAATTGTTAGGGAGGGGCTGGAACAAGGGGTAGGAGTTGGTGTGCCTTGGGAAGGGGGGGTTAAAGATGCTACATGAACAACAAAATGGGATGGACAGAATAAACACCATTGTCATAGAAAAAGTATATATCTTTTAAGCAATTGATATACATATTGCCTGATAATTTTACAATAGAAAGCTTGCAAGATGAGTATAAAAAGCTTTTGAAAAGATCGAACCATTTTCCAATGTTTTAATAATATTGAAAGACTGTACTAATAGATGAAATAAACTTTGGGAGATACACTTATATAAGTAATTCTTCAACGGTATATTAGAAGCACAAGTAATTGATAAATAAGACAGTTAATATGGATAGATATTTATTTAAGAAAATAGATATTCTAGAAGTATCTATCCATAATAATTATCTCATGTACTAAGTCAATAGGAGAGATCGGCCATGATGTCATACAGGTGGTTTGTGTATCACATGATGCACAACTTTAACAGTTTGTAAGAGTGGTTTGTCCTACCAATTGTCCTACTCAAGTCATACATGGGTTCTATTTTTAGCATATCGCGGCTAAGCTGATTTCTTCTCTATGTTTGTCAATTTGGGACTGGATAATTATAATTCTACGTCACTCACATAAAATGTCCCTAAATCAGTTTCAACTTCTGTTTCTGTCACAGTTTTTTCAAAGGCTAAATTCTGAAACTCGAACTCCGCATGAATTGATTTGGGGCGTCTCAATCTCGAAATTGAAGAATTATCCACAATTTCTATTTCTCCATAATGGTCGTCTGCTTTCCCTGCCATCATGGCTGCTTCCAGACTACCAATTGTATCCGTACTGACATTTGTTTCGATTTGGTAGTCGTCTTCCTTGAATTGCTCTTCATGGATTTCGGTTGTGGAGTTCGAACAAGTCACTGCATAAATTGTCTCTGAGTTATTGCCCCTTGTTTGCGCGATTTTTTCTTCAATTTCGATATGTTCAATGTCTGTTACTTGGACATGAACTGGGCTGTTTGTTCTGGAGTTCTTTCCCTTGACTTGTATTTTAGTAGTTCCGTCTGGATGAACATGTTGAAAATGGCTAATTGTAGCTGGCGATTTAGAGTTATGACCCTTGGTTTGAAAATGTCCATTTCCTTTGATTTTATTTTGATTATGGCTATCAAGTTCTTTATGCTTAAAATCGCTAATTGTTACTGGTAAATTGGAGTTATGTCCCTTGACATGGAAATTGTCTGCTGGGTATTGAGATCGTGTGTTTGAGATTGACGTGGGGATTTTACTCACTTTTACGAAATTAGCTGAAGATTCGTCGTCCTTTAATTCAATGTGTTTGAGATCTGAGACAACCACTTTGGTTGGAAGAACACCAGAGTTATCCCCCTTGTCACGTCTGCTGTGTAAATCATAATGAGATAACACATATTTTGCACTTGTTTCTGGTTCCTTGAATCTGGCGGAATTGAATGGCACAATGGATTTGATTGGTTCATTGTCTTTGTTAACTGCATTTTGATTGGTGGAATTGTCATTTATATCTATGTGTCTAAATTCGGTAACTATGGGTGTAGAATCGGATTGCCTATGATGTTGATTTATTCGAGAAATGTCCTCAATTTGGGTTTCCGAAGCAACAAGTGAGACGCGCTTCACTGGTCCTGAGTGATGGACTCTTTCCGAATCTTTATCACCACTGAAAAGATTTTCCATAGACTGCGATCTTTTTTCACCAGACATAGATAGTCTTTGTCCATTTTTCTTTGTGTTCGCTTTGATCAAAGATGGCGAACATTTTCCATGTTTCCTTTTGGCTTCATGTTTTGAATTGTCATTTTTGTGATGCAAGAAGCCAAATAAATGTGGCGAGGAATGCTTCCTTTCTGGAACACTTTTCAATTCTGGTGACTCATGCTCAGGATGTTTTTTAAGGATCGATTTATGTTTTGGTTCCTGAATTTCGGTTGTCATGGGTGATGTGATGATTTCATGGTCCAGAGACTGTTTCCGTGGTAACGAACTTGCTTCAGAAGATCGAGCTCTCGATGTTGTAGAAGTACCACTAATGTTGCTATCATCCAAACTTTGTCCCTTTCTATGGAAAAAGTTTCCCATCTTACTCTGAAAATTGGCGGCCATGTTTTTGTTTCGGTCCATTATTTCTTGATACGATTTTACTGCTCTACGATACGACACATAGACGAGAACGTTTAAGATCACTAGTAAAAGCAAAATGGCGCCCACAATGATGGAGGTTATGATTTGAGCAGACGTGACATCATGATTTAGGATATTCCATTTATTGTCGTCTGTTCTGTCCTCCATAATAATGATGTCACTTCCTGGTTAACATTTTACTACCTTTAATCACTCTCCAACTGGAATTAAAAAAAATTTAAAGTTAAGTTCTCTCCATATATCCAAAAAATATGTTTGTTAAAATCTTTAAGAACACAGACAATTTTCAAGTTGTGTTAACTTACATTTTTCACCTCCAAACCTCTCTTTTAATGATCCAACAACTATTGAATTTTATTCCTGTCCAAAAATCACCAACGAAATTCCAATTATATTCTAGCAAAACTTCAAAAATATGTTGTCAAAATCTCAATGTAAACCATTAACTATTTAGGGTGATAATGAAACTGGGTCTCGTAAACAGTTGAACTATTTAGGCGTAGTGTAATATTTACTCTAAAACACTCCTCTCTCTTAAAATTGATTCAAAAACCAAGGTTAATTTAAATTTTAAATCAGGGAGGTGCAGGCAGTCAACAAATATTACCATAACACTTATAGGCCTAGTCGAATTTTAAAATATTTCTTTTTAAAAACACCTGATGGTACTACTCTTTTGAGGAGTTCACTACTATGTAACTAACACTTTGGATGAGATTTTGATTAACGGAATTATCTTGCTTGTATGGAATTTATTCTACTTTTCACCACCTTCTTTTTGACTTATCAGATTTTCGAGTATCAGGGACACTGATAGCATCAATTAGCACCATTCCAAATTTCAATCAGACGTCTGTGGTTCCTGCAATTCCACTAAAACTAAGTGTTTTATGATTTCACTGGAAAACTAATAATATCTAAAGGAGATAACTACGTCATTAAATACTTCAAATATATATTTTTATTTTGGGACAACTGATGATGAATAACTGAATTTATTTGAATAATAATTTCTTTTGAAATATTGTTTGGTTTAGCTTTGTGTTGGCTGAATACAAATCCTTGTTTTCCTGTTACATAGAATACATTAAGATATGTACAGTTTTTTCAACATGTTCAAAACCTTTGTTTATATCTTACTTGATAAAATGTGCATAAACGTAAATCCATAAAACTGTACCAAAATTACCCATGTTTGTAAAAATGTTGGTATATGATTTACATAAATTTTGTATACATTACCTATACAAAATGTACATCTATATATCTCCATAAAACTGTACCAAAATTACTCATGTTTGTAAAAATATTGGTATATGATGTACATAAATTTTGTATACATTACCTATACAAAATGTACATCCATAATTCCATAAAACTGTACAAAAATTACCCATATTTGTTAAAAAATATTAGTACATGAGACAGTTGTACATTTGTGAAGGATTATAAAGATGTACATTTATCCAGCTTACCTAGACAAACAGTACATCCAAGTAACTCCATAAAACTGTACAAAAATTACCCATGTTTGTAAATTTTATACTTTATGAAGCATTTACAGTACTGTACATCCATAAAACTGTACAAAAATTACTCATATTTGTTAAAAAATATTAGTACATGAGACAGTTGACAGTTGTACATTTGTGAAGGATTATAGAGATGTACTTAAATATTGTGAAGAAAGTTGAATGTTGGTATTTACTTTACAAGTCCACGCCTGGAGTTGTCACGCGTTGACAGAAAGGTCATAATGTTACCATATTGACACCTGAATTTTCTTACTCTGTACTTAACACACTCTCAATATTTATTTTATATCAGGGATTGTTTTTATACCAGTCATGTCTGAATATAGGCCTTCAATGACCTAAAACATAAAGGTCTAGGATTTGATACCTGGCATAGTTTGAGATAATACTTTATTAGTTACAGGCTTTGCACTTTAAGATCTCTCAACAGTTGGAAATCAACAAAGAGTAGGCTAATGCTGCTGTCCTGGCTAAATTTTTCCTCATTGCAAACTGCATGGCATGTCAGTTTTTTCCCAAGGAATCTACTTTGTAAAAAAATAAAAAAACTTACTTTTCACCTATTTTATTAACTAATACTAGACATAAATTACAAAATTATTTACACATATTCTTAAATTGAAGAACCGGTCATCTTTTTATCTTAATCATACATGAATGGCAAACGAAACATTCAAAAATAACCCAGAAACAATAATTCATTAAAAAGATACATTTAGAAACAAAAAGAAATTCAGATTTTTTGGATTTTTTTTTAGCTGTCTTTGCTAAATTATGTCACACGACAACAAATTTGAAAAATGAGACACGAAATTATTGCCAAAAAAAAATGGCATGTTTATCTAAATCATCGTTGATAGGAAGTCACTCCATCATAATATTGACAATCTGTCAGATTGGAGAGGGAAATTTTTAAAAATGACTTTTTTTGGTAACAATGATATAAGTACAGATTGTCAAATTTTGAAAGCTGAATTTATTGTTTTGATCAACAAGTATATATAATATTTGATTTATATATATGTAAAGTCAAACACAGATATTACTGTACTTCCAGGTCCGATTAAAACCAAAATCTAACTGAGCAGGCCAATTTATTTTTGGGTAGAAACCATAAATAATTAAAAGAGAAGCTAAAAAAACATGTTGTTACTCAGAGTTTCATGCTATGCGATCTTCAGAGATATATCTGTACTTCCCGGTCCGATTAAAACCAAAATCTAACTGAGCAATCCAATTTATTTTTGATTAGAATAAATAGTAAAAGAAACTAGAA